AGGTCACAGGTCATACTGTGACCCTAGTTTCTCAAGTCAGTCATTGATTCAACAAATTTTCTTAATCATATGCAGAACAGAGTCCTCGTTACTAGGTACACACTGAAAATGAACTCATTTATTACTCAGCATAAATTGGTCAATAGAACCAGCAAAGGATGTATGACACACTCTTTCAGGATATCCATGTGGAAAGGTGGAGATACATCGGCTAGTTATAAGATACTAAGAACATTAGTAGTTAACTGTAACCGAGAGTGTGACTCCTTATAAGCCTCAAGGGAAGCTTCCAGAGACATACTTCGTGTTGTTCAGCCAGTTTAACAATTTCATCAGTGGCTTAGGTAAAGATATAAAAGAGTCTGATCTATCATACAGACAGCATTTCTTTGGGAGGACAGGTAAAGATGCCAAAGAATATAATCAAATTCCAAAAGCACGATGGAAAGAATCAGCTAACATAAAGCAAAACACAGCACAATAAATGTTAGGTTTTGCAGTGACATCAGTACAAGATGGGAAGACATGGCTCAATGGCAGCATGTGATTAAGGGCTCAAGGGGTTTTAGTGAACAGGAAACTCGTTGAGTCTGGCCACCAGAAAAGTGACTGCAAACTTGGCCTACATCAGTGCAAGCAACATGCAACCTATGACAGACACTCCAGCTCTACTCCACATGGGTCACGTTACACCAGGAGCCCAACTCTGACAGAGTAGCCGGAATACTTCTAGAGAAGGATTTGTTCAGTAGGCCACCAAGGCAGTAGAATTTGAATAAACAAGCAGAATTCAATTCGAATTCAATAGGCCAAAAAACTTTCTAGTACTCAAAACCATTAAAAGGTGGAGATCCCCACCCCTTACTTGCAATGTTCAGGTATTACTGGAAGACCACTTACAGAGATTATATAAAAGGATCCAAATATCGAATAAGGGTTAGTTCAGCGGCTCAGTGATTTCCAAACTCTGGTCCTTAGTGAAGTTTTCACTGACCCATGGAAAAGAAAAAAGTGTCCATGTGGGGATAGTTATAAATCCATGAGTGGGGTAATTTTAACACAGATATTCTCTGGATAGGAAGAACTCTCCTTTAAGTCTGACAGCATAGGTATTCTTCCCTCACTTTTTTTTTTTTCTTTGGTATAACAAACGTATTTTGATGAAATGCATTGACAATACGTAGTAACTGCTGTTGTCAATTTTCAACACACTTATGTAATAACATTAAATGCTGACATATCTGACAATCCCTAATATTTGCTATTTTTTTTTTTAATTTTACAGGTAGATGAAAAGAAATGGTACAGAAACAGCATGATGAGACAATCTTTAAGGCCCTTTCTGGTCCAAAGATGCTATGATGACTACATTCGACTTGCTGCACATTTTCCACATTTTCTTCCTTCTTACCACCCAACTTGGCTATACAGTAATGGGGGGAAAATATACCAAGGAATTGGGCCGCACTAAATATGAAATCTCTCAAGAAGCAGAACCTCAACAGTGAGTCAAGATCTGGCTCTCTTCTACAACTGATGTTCTTTGGAACCAAAGTTTATGAATCAAGTTCAGAAAGGATCAAAATAATCTATGTCTGAAGTTGGGAGGCTTTTAAATTCCTATCACACGGTTATCACTCTTTTAAAAGGAGTCACAGCAAAATGCAATTGGAACAGAAAAAGCAATTTCTGAATCATTGATTTCAAGGTAAACCAAGTAGCTGTGACCCTCATGCAAAGTATTCACATACAAACTTACCGTGGGCCAAGGCAAAGAAAAGACATAATCATGAAAAACATAAACTATCCCAATCAGACAGGCATTTTCATTATTCTAATACATTCATTTTAAACGTTAAAGAAACCCAAAATTTTGGTGCTGAAAGGGGTCATGAAAACACTTTCATCCAAATTAATTCGTGGCAGGTGGTAGAGGCAGGAAGCTCAAGGTTCCTATCTCTGCCTAAAGTTTCTTCTACTCTCATCCTGCAAGTGAATTAGGTACATTAACAGAAGTAAAAAACCTAGAACATGGGTTCACTATTCTCTAGGACTGTACTTTGTATTTCACGGAAGTTCAAAACAGGAAAAAAAAAAAAAAAAAAAAAAAAAAAAAAGAAAAAAAAAAAAAAAAAGGAAACACAGCAAGGGTCCAACTATCTCAAAAAAAAAAAAAAAAAAAAAAAAAAAAAAAAAAAAAAAAAAAAAAAAAAAGCAGAGCTCTTCAATTAACAATACCCCAAGTCTAAATTTTCTTCAATATGGCTTTAAAAGAATTTGTAATCCTAAACCACCACCATAAATTGATTACAAGTTCAAAAACTCAATGCCTTCCTCAACCTCAAAAAATAACCCTGCATTTATCAATTATGATTGGAGGTAAGGGGCTGTATCCACGTAAACACATAGTTCTTTCCGAAAGTATGCAAGAAACACAATCCCTTTTAAACTAGTTTTGATGCCTAAACACAGTGCTTTTAAACCATTTTCAATTACCAAACAATTGGTTTTTCAGGGTAGCTAGTATTTCCTTACTTTCAGCAATAGATAGACTGCTCACTTCAAAATCAATAACCCACTTCCCCTTTTGCCTCAGGTAAAAAGATCCTCCAGGTGGACAAGTGTTTACTAAGCTCAGGAATCAAGGAACCCTTTATACACCATCCCAGTCTTGGAGGTTGGGGAGGGAGGGGAAGCACCTTCCAAATCCATATTACACAGCTTTAACTATAGTAAGCATTATAGAAGCCAAATCATGATCTGATAATTCTCTTTTAAACTAAAAGTTACATTCCATACAATTAAAGCTCTTTGAGAAAATCTAAGACTTAAAAACATAAAAAGCATTTAATGAAAAACATATACTTAAAGCAACTGGTAAAATCTGTAGCCCATACTAAAAGCCAGACTCCACCCCCATACCTGTGATCTAGCTCTTGCTTTATTTTCCGGACCTGCTTACACTGTTTCTTATCCAAGTTCATTTCACCCCATCTATAGGTAGGAAGTGGGTACTGATCAAAGCTGTTTCTGATTTCATTTCCTACTTCCCAGATGTTTGCTCTGTGGTTTTTCTTTTTCCTTCAGCTATTTATGAATACACTCTAATTTAGAACAAATTCAGTATGTCTTATTTTAAGCTGGCCAAGGCACACAATAAATGAGCGCTATAAAGATAATTTCAAGATATTTATCCAGCATATAAATAAGTTTGCCTACCTAGGCAAGATTTGGACAGGCTGCCATAATCTTACTTTAAAATAAAAGTGCTTAAAAACATGAGCCTGCTGCTGTTGCTGCTGTTACTGCTTAAACTACGAGCTATTGTGCTTGTCATGAAAGGGCTTTTGCTTAGAAATGAAAAAATCAAATATCCTCTGGGGAGAAGATGTTCCTAACACAATCCCTATTATGAATCATGCACATACTTCAATTGCATCTCTTCCCAAAATGGATCAATGGACTCTTTAGGAAGAATCAATGTGATTTATACCCAAAACTTAAGATTGCACTTTCTCATGAATAATACTTGCTTATAGCTCTTAATCAGTGAAATTCAATCAAGCAGTAAACATCTTTTAAGTGAAAATGTTGTCTAAACAGGATTATAAAACTAACAGAACTCTGAATTCTTTAAATAAGTCCAAACATCAAACAGGCATTCTTAAATGACGAAACTAAATACAGTAAACCCTGTTGTCTGTTGAAATTCAACTTTGGTAATGCCAAAATTAATAGGTCACCTCTCAATAACCGCAAAAATATTGGTATGTGTAGGTTTTCTAGGGAGGTAATAAAAAGCAACAGTTTGCGAGATTTTTTTTCTTCAATTACTAATTGTAACACTAGAAAAATTACAACCTAGGCTGCACACAGACGCAACTCAAATGGGCAGTTTACTAAATGCCTGTCATGAGAAAGCCATCTAGTGTTAATGTTTAGAATGGAAACTGCGGACAAAAGAGGCAAAGAAAAGAAAAATCTGTGCGACTATTTTGAACTTACTGAGCAAAGCCATAAGAACCACCAAGATTCCTTGAGGATTTTTTCCTTGTTTTTTTTTTTTTTTTTTTTTTTTTTTGGGGGGGGGGGAAGCCATCCTTGTCAAAACCCAGTCTAAATCTAACCAAAATCCAAAATGTCTATAATTTTATTTTAATCACATGTTTTGGTGAGCACAATTCCGTGACCAATGCACTTGATTTTTCCAATACTCAGGTCAGAGTCATCTTGGGCTGAATTAATTTAACTGAAGCAGGTTAATGATGACAAATATCTCCCAGAGGGGTAATGCCAAGTTATTCTCTCTTTCCGAGAAGCCTCGGCTCCCTCTTGTAGATGATGAGCTGAAATTGATTCTTTGGGTTTGCGGCACGGCAGAAAATTAATCTGTAGGTGCTCCTGGGGATATTCCCAGGACGTGGTCAAACTACCCTCACTGACACGGGAAGACCCGGAGAGGCCCTGGAGCTGACAAAATGGGAAGAAAGGTCGCGCTGAGTGAGAAGGGCGCTCGCTGGCTGCTCGCGGTCTTACAAAGAGGGATCCGTCCCGGCGAGGGCGCGCGCTCGGGGCGCACCCCTTCCAGGGGAATTAGCTCCGCAGCAAGTTCGGCGTCAGCCAGCCAGGCGCGCCAGGGAAGCTGCGTTGGGCAACGGCGAGCCCTTCCGCGAGCGTTAGTCAGAGCGGAGTTCTGGGCACCTGGAGGAGATCCTCCTCAGTGCCTGTGTCGCCGAGACGTGAATAACCTTTCAACCGATCGATAACTTGGAGAGAACAAGCGGCGGCGGCTCCTCTCCCAGCCGGGTCCCGGGAGCGCGGGCGCATCTGCATCTGCGAGCCGAACCCCGCGCCGCGCCCCTCGCACCCCCGCGCCGCGCGCACCCCGCCGCCGTCAGCCCCCCGGAGGGCAGCCTTCCCCTCCGGGACAGACCCCGCCTGGCCGCAGCCATCCCGAGCCGACCCTCTCCACGCTGCCCGTCGGATTCCCCGACACATACCTCCGCAAGGCCGTCCGCCGGGACCTGCTACAGCCTGTGCGCGCCGGGCGGCGCGTACCGGGGCTGCCGCCTCGCCGCCCGCCGCTGCCCGGAGCTGCCCATCGGCCCGGACTCTCCCCGCGCCGGGCTCCGGCGGAGGCGGCCCGGACCCACCGGCTGCGGCTGGAGCTCTCGGCCTGCGCTCGGGCGGCCGGCGGGGGCGCGGCGCTCCTCCGCGTCCTCCTCCTCCTCTCGCTCCGCCGGCTCCTCCCGGGCTCCCCGTCTGCCGCGCCGGCTCCCGACGCCACCGCCCGCCCGCCCGGCGGCACCGCCTCCCGCCCGCTCGCGAGCTCCCATTGGCCACCGTCCGCAGGCCCCCTCGGTCGATCCCCGCGATTGGGCGCGGGCGCCGTCAGTCTCACCGCCCGCCGGGCTCCGGGCGCAGTCGGTGCGCTGTTCCCAGGCCCCGCGGTGCGCGGGAGCGGCGCGTCCGGGAGGGGCCCGGGCGCCCTTCAGAGGGAGGGGGCTGCGGGGCGCGGAATGCGCGGCGCTGGGCGAGCTCGAGGGCCGGGCAGCCTACCTGGACCCCGGCTTCTAGAGAGCCGTCGCTGTCGCCGTCGGGACTCGCTCTCGCCCCTCTGAGGAGTAAGTTAAAAACCCCAAGCCTGGCTCCGAGCCGCCCCCTGGCGCAGGCACGACCCCACCCGGCCGTCCCGTGGCCCAACTTGGAACAGACGCGGCGGCTGGGCGTTCGGATCCCTGAGCCTCGGCCGCTGGGGCTGCACACACAGCCCAGGACGCCGCAGAATCGCCGAGGCCCCGCGAACGCCCAAACGGCCGCATCTGGAAGTGACCCCACCTGGAGAAGATAGCTCGAGGAAGCGAGACCCTGCAGTGTGCCAGCCCCCGGAGGGCGCCCCTGGCCTCGGGGCTCGGAGGGTGGGGAAGCACGGAGAAACACGCAGGCAGTAAAATGTTAGGAGGACAGGGGGTGCCAGCGTGCAGGAAATGCTGCTAACAGACCTTCAGGAGCCAGGAGGGAAACGGAGAGACCAGGAGTTCCAGGCACCCGCGTCCCAGCCGGGTCCGTTCACCCCTTCCTCCCCACCCTCCAGGCACGGCTGAAATGTCTTGGATCTTTATTTCGACGAGGAAGAATTGAACTTTTTATACCCAAGTTTTCTCCTTTCTTAGAAATGTTGACTCACCTGTGAGGAAGCATTACTTGAAACTGTTAGTGTAAATTGCTTGACATTTGAATTAGATGCTGAAAGATTAAAGGGTCTCAGAAGAATCTTTTAAGCTAGATAGGAATTCATGCTGCCTAAATGGACGGCAGCAGTCATCTATACGCAGGAATAATAAAGCAGGTGTAGGCAGCCTCTAACTTACTTACCTTCCAGCCACACCGTAGGCTTTCCTGAGCAGGCTTTTTTTTGTCAGCGTTCCAAGCTGAGTTCCCAGAGACTGGATTGGGGCTTTCAGACAGACTTCTTCCTGAAGAGAGAATGTTATCTCTACTTCCCTATCAGAAACACTTCCCTAGAACACAGCCCTGTTAAAAGTTAAATAGAGGCGGTCCCTCCCACACTATCTTTCTTTGTGATCTCAAGCATAACTCTTTTAAAAATATAGGTACAATCTATGGGCCTAGGTATAACTAAACAGGTCAAAAAGCGCTCCTGTGACATAATACAATTCCCAAGCTCCAGGTTTTGATGAGTTTCCCAACTGTCACCCCATTATCAGCATATACAAGATTGCCATGTATTCATTTAATAGACATTTATGAAGCTCTTCTGATGTTGCAGACCATGCTAGGTGCTGGAAATATAAAATGCACAGGACATAAGGCTCTGCTCTTCTAGAGCTCACCATCTCACAGGTATATCTTCATACGCTATAGATACTCTGCAAGAGATAACATATCTCCTGTGTACTCAACAAAACCTTACAGGAGGAGCAGCCTTGAAGGAACTTTTCCTGGGAGTGCCTAGGAAGGACACATTCACATTTCAGATTATTGGGTGTTTCATTGTCTGTAAGGGCCTTGAGGAGAAGAACCACATGTCCCTCAGCATTTTGATCCCTAAGGCACAAATCCACTGCAGCACATAGCAGATTCTGGGTCAGCGGGTTGTCATTGACTGAGTCTTGCTGCTGCAGCTGCAAGTGTCTAGTGTCTAATAGATGAAGAGGAACCCACCCCTTTGATGTGTTCCTTAATATCCAATACGTAATGATCATGTGTGGAAATCTGACCATTCTTCAATGACGATGTTAGCCACAATTCTCACCCTTGCACTTTCCAATCCCACTTCTTGTGCTTTGCAAACTAAAATTGAAATATCCTAAGCCCCACTACCAAAGTTGGCAGTATTTTTTTAAATGCCTGTAATTGATTGTGCAGGGTAAACATTTGTGTACATTTATGAAGGTCCGTGGGAGTTCCTGACTTTCCCAGAAAGGAAGGTCACATGAGGCTGGCCTTCATCAGAAGGTGCCTGCCTTCAGCAAACAGATCCTGAGTGAGCCTGAGATTTTATGCGTGAGCCCTTCCTTGCTAGTCTTCCTAGCAGCAGCCCTCTTGTTTCTTGCCTTTTTAGGTAAAGGCAAACAGCTTTAAACATAGCACAGAGACAGTGGAATTGCAGCACCTGTGAAGATATCAGTGCATCATTTTGGCCTCAGGACATCTTACTGAAAATAATTATTTCTATATTAAACCTGTACATTTTGCTGAAATTTTAAAGAAAAATATCAATGGTGAATTATAAAATTGTATTTGCCTAAAGGCTAGTGTGAACTTACCACTTTCACCTTCCCCCAGGCTAAAATTTTCCCTCCTCTGTTGCCCAGGCCTCATTTTCTATCCCTCAAAACTCTTCTTTCTTTTGTGAATTTCATCATGTTGTAGGAGTTCCTAAAGAAACAAACTCAAGGGATTAATTCTTTTTACAATCTTGATTCAGCACGTCACTCCTGAAATAATTCCAACATCAGTCTTACCTATTTTTCTCTAAATATAAAGAGAGATGGAGTTCAAAGACATACCAACTGCCTACCCTGTTCCAAGGTTTTGAACTTCTTGGCTGACCTTGCCTGGTACTTCTAGCGATTTACCTTTGAATTTAGCAAAACAGGGTTTTATTGTCTTGACATACTGCAGCAAGATTCTACTTATAGACGATATGCGTACACTGTAATAAACCTGAATGCCTAAGTTAAATAAGAGTTTATACCCCTACCCTTATTTCTTCCTTCCTTTTTCTGTTACTAACCATCTTTTAAAAAGTATTTATTTTATATCAAATGAATATGTATAATTTGCAACAAATAGGCCTTGAATGTTTATTACATTCAGGGTATTATATTAGACTCTAAGGACCCAAAGGGCAATATTTATTAGAGTATATGAATTTTATGACAAGGAGCAGAACTTGAGAGCAGAAGCTCAGGATCACCAATGAGTGGCGCCCACAGGGAGAGCAGGAGAGCCAGCCATCTGGCTTGGGCCAACCAGCAAAGGCCTCACCAAGGATGTGAAACTGGCCAGGCAAGGAGGAGAGAAGAGAGCGCTATCCCTGGCAGGAGGAAGCATGGTGGGTGAAGACACAGGAGCCGACTGTGCAAGGCATGTTTAGGAAACAGCCGTGCCCACTGGCCAAGCACAGGCTTAGTCACTTGTACAACAAACACGTACATGGTACTTCATCCACGCCAGGTTCTGTTTTCTTCTTAGAGGGAAGTCCTCACAGACAGAAAAGCATATGGGCACTGCCTCAACTTTTTTTTTTTTTTTTTAAAGGAAACCTCTTACAAAAGAAACATGTTTGAATATGGTCTTGCGAAGTAAAATAAGAAATGCCAAGTCCTGCAATTTTAAAAGAATACTTTTTAAAAGATGGTTAGTAACAGAAAAAGGAAGGAAGAAATAAGGGTAGGGGTATAAACTCTTATTTAACTTAGGCATTCAGGTTTATTACAGTGTACGCATATCGTTCAGCTGCAGCTGAGAAAGCTGGGTTACTGGCTTTCACGTACCACCAGTCATGATAAAAAACAAAGCACATGTTTAACTTAAAATGAAAACCACTAGAATAACATAAAACCAACAGAATAACATGAATGATGTGCTAAATACCCTATACTGTCCGTAATAGCCTTAGAAGAAACCTATCTAATTTAAAAGTCTCAGTTCTGTGGATATCTACAGAGGCCTACTCTGTGTTCAGTTCTGTTCTGGGGAGGATTATTACAGACAAATAATGAGACAATCCTCAAGGAAAATAAGAGTGCCTAGCTGGGAGTTTTACATAGGAAGCAATGTTCAGATTAGTGCAAAGATGATACATTTAAAATGCCAACTTGAATTTAATGTTGTATAGATGTGTGACACCAAGAGCAGGAATGACCAATCTTGGATGGCATGATCAAGGATCACTGACAAATATCCTTCAGAAGGGAAAAGTTTCTTGTGTTCTTCATCATATGTTTCACAAATTTAAAATCCTGTGTGTTTGTCTTTGCTGCAATGTGCCCAATCCAACGTATCTCCAAGAATCTTCTAAGACAGGTGAGTTATTTATTTTCTGATGATTCAAACTCTTGGCCATAGCTATTTTACATTTTATACCCCTTATTATCTCTTTCACTTTCTCTAGTCTCAGGCCCACAGATTAACAACTTGTACCAACCTTATCACTATGAGAGGTGCCTTCTGCCTCTTGCCTCACCTTGGAAAGAAAGAAAGGGGAGAGGGAGGGAGGGAAGGAAAAGAAAAGAGAGATGAAAGGAAGGAAGGAGAAGAGGGAAGGAGAGGGAGAGGAGAGAGGGAGGGAAGAAGAGAGGGAGGAAGGAAGAAAAAAAGAAAAACGGAAGATGGAGGGAGAGAGGGAAGATGGAACAAAGAAAGGAAGAAAGAGCCTAAACTGTAGTTCAAAAGCATCTTCTGCTTTTGCCCTTTCTCTGATATCTCAAACAGAGGATTTTTTTAGAAGCCCACCTACTTTGGTATCAGACAACCATGGCTCTGAATCTGGTCTAGAAGTTTATTAGATACGTAACTATAAGAAAATTACATCTCAAAGTAACATCTTCCTTATCTAAAGATGGGCTAATAAACCCTCCAGGGCCATGATGATGATGCCGTCCG